CCCTGGGACGAATCCCAGGGGGTCTTGTGGCCCAGCCTCTCGGTGGGAGGTCAGACATGAGTTGCTAGTGTGGTGCAAATGTTCGGGCAGGGTGGTCTGGCTGGTAGATAACACAGTGGACAACAATTGAGACAGCAAGCAGTTTGTTTACATGTGTTTACCACCTGTTGCTGTCAGCTGATATATCAATTATTGGCAGTTGCCCAATATGAGGGATGCATCAGGGAGGGCAGTTCCCCAGGCCTTAAAACACCAGTATTGTAGGCCTGTTTTGCTCTAGATGTGACAGCTTGGGCAATTGCCCAATTTCATTTTTGGGAATTTTTTGTGCAGGATCGTAGATCATGTTGAGGTGATCCTGATGGTACTTGAATGACATCATCAGCATTAGTCGTTGTTGAGAAAAACACAAAAGAATTTCAAAACATCAGTGGTTTTGAAAATTTTTTTTGTGCAGGGTCATAGATCATGATCAGGTGATCCTAAAAGTACTTGAATGACATCAGCAGCATTAGTGGTTGTTGAGAAAAATGCAAAACAAAGTTGATTCCCACAGTCATGTGACCTGTTATTTGAAGAAATATCAATAGCCTCTAGCAATTGTCTAATGCTTCATATGAAGAGACTTCAACAAAAATTTGCCAAAGTCCAACTCACAACATGTGACTCTGTGATACCATCAGCACCTTTGATGGACTCATTGCATTTGCATCACACCATGCTGGGCATGGCAGTCATATATTTACTATTTGTTTGCATTTGAGGCCAGAATATCAAAGTTTTGGAGGCTGAGCATGAAGAAAAAGGCAAGTTGAAAGTCACATGACTTGTTGATCTACTTGGCATCTGTCACATATCACAGTCCATAACACCCCTCTATGTCATTTTTACAGGGCAATTGCCTCTGTTTTATAGGGCTGGGGAACTGCCCTCCCTGATGCATCATCAGTTTTGGGCAACTGCCCGGCTTCATATGTATCACTGACAGCACTGGCTGTGTTTACAAGTGGGTGTTTGAGAGAAAGAGGTGACAATTCTCCTCATACATAGCCCAAATGTAAATTGTTGTCAATTTGATGGGAGGATTATTAGCTCTGGCTAGATGGACTTGACAATCTAAAGATTGTTCTCGCTTCTGGCATTCCTTCTTGTATATGGCCTGTCTGCCATGGTATGCATTCCATAATATGTTGAAAGGTTGTGAGGACTTGAAAATTTCTGTATTGTCAAAAAGATTGATTGAATTCTGTTGAAATTTTGGGGCCTGGAAAACAACAGTGTGGGCTTCTTGTAGAAGAATTGCTGGAGGGGCCCAATGCTCTAGCACTTTATTTGAAGTGTGGACGTTTGTCTATTCATACCAGATTGGAACACCTAATGGCTGAAACCATTCTGGTGACACAGTCAAACTCAATCTCAAACACCCACTTGTAAACACATGTAAACAACCTGCTCATTGTCTCATTCATCGTCCACTGTGTTATCTAGCCTGTATGCAGGGCATACCCCTGATCAAGCGAAGGATTGTAGGCATCACGTCAATGCGAAAAATAAAACAAATAAAAGGTAGATAATTTTGCAGGCCTTATGCAGGCCCACATTATTATCATTGAGGTCTTTGGACTGGGCCAGGATGGTCCCATCATCCACAAAGGAGAGGTGCATCATGTTGAGAGGTGCTGCTTTGATGCAGAAACAGCTTCATTACTGGAGTGATGAAGAGCCCTGAAATAACAGGCAAGAGTGCTGAACCCTGCCCGACACCCACATCTGCAGACCATGAGTTGGATTGGAAGGTGTTCCAACAGTAAACTGTGGAATGACCAACTAGATACGAAGCAAAGAAATCCACCAAGATTGGCGAAAGCCCTTGCTTGTGCAGGACAGCCATGAACATTTCATGGTTGATAGAAGGGAAGAACTGTGCGATGTTGAAAGCAAGCGTGCTAGTCTGGAGACCCTTAACCCACCCCACTCACACAAGATGGGTAAGAATCAATCCAGCATCCTCAGTAGACCTCTGGTGGAGGGTGGTGGCTAGCATTCAAATCATATAACTGCGGCAATAGCTGCTACAGTGAGGTGTATAATGCCGATGAGTTTAATGATTTGAAATCATCAGAATTACAGTGCAAAATCATTGAGCAGCGAGATTTTTCTTCTGTAGTGAAATCTTTGATTACAAGGCAAATCATTGCGACTTCATAACTCTGCCTTACAAGATCTTTCCGAGGCAAAGAAATATCATTGAGCAAAATCTTTTCTTATCTGAGCTAAATCATTCTGCAAAATCATTCCTCGAGGAAGAAATATCATTGGAACAAAATCTTTTCTTATCTGAATTAAATAATTATGCAAAATCGTTGCTGGTCATTAATTCAATGAAGTTTATCTCTGGCGAAATCATTAATTTAAGGACAGACAATGATGTTTCTCTCTGCAAATTATTCTCGCATCATGAGATATCATTGATAAAGGGACTTAGACAAAGAATTGACTTTGACGTGAAATCATTGCTGTGCTGGTGGGACTTAGTCATCTGCCCCAAATTTGGAGCTTGTGCCTTTGAAGGCTGTGACACAACTTTCTGCCCATGCTAAAGGGGTCCTTATCTGATTCTAGATAATGTTTGAATTTGAGGCCAGAATATGATGGTAACATGGGAAAATAATGGTGGGAAAGGCATTTGATAGATCATGCATCAGATTACATAATCATTAAGTAAACTTATTAGCTATATTAAGAAGAAAGCAAAATCATTTATTCATAGACAAGAAGTGATTTATCTGCATAGATGATTAATGATTTAATGATTTCGCAACAACCTGGATAATTTCCATAATGATTTCATCTGGCAAAGAAAAGATTTTGCTCAATGATATTTCTTTGCCTCAGAAAGATTTCATAAGACAGAGTTATGAAGTCGCAATGATTTGCCTTATAACCAAAGATTTTGCCACAGAGGAAAAATCTCGCTGCTCAATGATTTCATGCTGTAATTCCAATGATTTCAAATCATTACAGCCCTTTGCGGAACTTAGGGCGTGGGACATTTTTTTTCCAAAATGGGTCGAGCTGATGGTTCGAGTGGGATCAGGACTCATTTGTGGAATAACTTCGTCAATTTAAGCCCGTTTTGAATAAAAATACAATCGTTGGACGTGTATTGAAATTCTGCGTTGAATGGTGTATAATATGTGGGAGGAATGTCATAGTAGGCTGAGGCATTTCATCTGTGCTCATTTTGCACCCCCTCAATGAGGTGGCTACAAAATCAAGCATTTTCGTTACCTGTCTTCATGTAATTTGCATACAGAAGAGACTTTTACATGGAGAATACACTAATCAATAAAATAATCCCCAATGTATGGAGTATAGCATGCCTGGATTGCGAGAGATTGTGAGGGCTTCCCCCAGTGGTTTCATCTGGACCTGGGACTGCCTGGAACCATGAAATAGACAGAGTTCTTGACACGTTGGTGCTACACTGACACGAAAAAACCATATCTACGACTGACTAGGCCTGCAGCGTCCTTTGGACATGGGTAAAGACAGTGTTTGAGTGGCCTACGAGAACTGGTGTTGGGCTGTCTTCATTGTATTTCTCTCAACTAGAAAAAAGATATTCACAGTTTAGTTCGAGTAAGTACATAATGATTTTGTAAAAATGTGAAGCTTCTAGGTAGTTTTCAGGTTGGAAAGTGGACATCCCCTCATCCACATATGTATGTGCATTGTGAGCGGCGGCGTTGCCCCACCAACTTCACCCTGGGCTCTCATTTAATGCCCTATTTCTAATGTAAATGATCTCTAATTGCAAGAAAGCTTTGTTCAAGGGAGAATTAGCCCAAGAGGAGAGCTCGACAAAAGTGAATGGCCGCCACCTCATCAGAATCTTCCTCCAGTCAATATTCCTCATTCCCTCACTCTACCCCACCTTTCTGGACACCATTTAAGGCATAATTTCAATCCAAGTCCAACGATTGTATTTTTATTAGAAACGGGCTTAAATTGACGAAGTTATTCTACGAACGAGTCCTGACCTCACTCGAACCATCAGATCGACCTGTTTTGGAAAAAAAACGGCCCACACCCTAAGTTCTGCAAAGGGCTGTAAACTCATTGGCATTATACACCTCACCATAGTGGCTATTGCTGCAGTTATATGATTCCAGGTGCTCCATACTAGTGTGGCGGATACCACCAAATTGGTTGGGGTGAAAGATATCATGCTTAACCACATCAAACTGTATTCTGTTGGCGATCATCTTTTCGATAAGTTTACCAGAAGTAATGAGGAGTAGGATAGACCTGAAAGCCTTTGGCACAGCATAGGAGGGCTTGTTCAGCTTTGGGATGCACCTGTATCAGCTGTAAAAATATAGAAATCCTAGGTAGTTTCCTAACTCTAAGTCTACGTCTGGGAGGGCAATATCCTACCTTCTGCTTTGGGAAGAGGGCACATAACAAGATATTTAATAATGTTTTTTTTGAGGAAAAAAGTATCTGGGTTTGTAGAATACCTTTTCATGACCCTGAATCAAGTTGTTTGATGCCATCAGCTGCTCTGGTTGGCGAGAAAAATACAAATTACTGAAAAAATGGCTTGCATTTTGCAAATTTTAGCATTGTTTGGCTTATATCTTGTTGTTGATGAAGCCAAATAGGTCATGCTGATGGTGGCAGGGTCACCTAGGCCCAGGGTTTCAATTCCAACTGTTTCTTCCCAAAAAGGAAATTTCCCTCAGTTATGTGACCAGCCAATTTCGCATTTCTGGCACCCCTAGTGTCTGTCTAGACATAGCAGAAGAGGACTTGAGCAAATTTTTGCAAAGTCCAACTTGTTACATGTGACTTTGATGTTGATGGCATCAGCAAACTTGATGGCTTTATTGCTCTTCATCAATGCCAAAGTCTGGGCCTGAGAATCATGTATTAATTAATTGTTTCCATTTGAGGCCATAATATCAAAGTTTTGGAGGCTGACCCTGAAGGAAAAGGCAATTGAAAAGTCACATGACCAGCCATCAGTCTTGGCATCAGTCACATTTCACATGCTGGGCACTCAGTAACCCCTCCATGGTAATAGGAGAGCCTTCGCAAAATGGAAGGTAGGATATTGCCCTTCCAGACATAGACTTAGAGTTAGGAAACTACCAAGGATTCTAAAAAATTCTAGCTTACATGGCTGGAAATGAAAGACTTCTCAGCCTTGCTTCTGGGTTTAATTGTCCATCACCCAGATCCATCAGAAAAAACCTTTTTGTCTTAGGTTGTCTTGAGGACAATCTGAGACATCTAAGACACCAAGAACAGTAAGGCTCCTGAAGCCTACGTTCCTAGGTGTAAAATCTTATAGCGTCCTCAGGGTGTCCTCAAGATGCTCAGAGGACAGGCTAAGACTACAGTAGATTTTATTCAGGACATTTCATTTTTTTTTCTGTTCACACTTCATGTATTGAAAGAAGACTCAATTATATTTCTCTATCTAATGTACATTGAACAGATTACATTAATACTAGTACTGTATGCTATAATACAATTCCCTCCTACTGAAATATGCACTCACCCATAGCATAGAAAGAAGATATCATAATCTAGATATATAGTCAGCAGCCATGTCTGCTAGAAATCTATATCAAACACTGTATTTAAACAGGGTATACTCACATGTCAGGACTGTCATTATACAGTCCACCCATGGAGAGGCCATTGCCATGTGTGCCAGGGCTCCATGCTGTGGGCGGGGCATTGGGCCAGGCGCGTTTGGATGATGCGGCCTTTTTTTGGGGCCCTGGAACTATTTTTAGTTCATATTGTAATTACCATGACTCATTCATTATATTGCTGTCGCCGACATCTGTCACAACGTCTGGCAAGCTCAGAGATATCTTATAACACATGAAAAATTACAAAAAAAATCATATTAAATTCAAATAAAATATATACATGGTGCAGGTGGCTCTACCAGCCACCCACTATGAGATAAGGGGAACATGAGGACAAACAACATGTACGACACATCGTTTCCGCTCCCCTACCCTTTGCAGCCAAAAAAAAAATGCATAAAAAATATATTAAATTGTACAGAAAGAAAAATTACAGGATGCAGGTGGCTAGTAGGGCCACCTGCTATGAAATATAGGTAAAATGAGCAGAAACAGCATGTTATAGTGCACCATTTCTGCTCAGGGAGACGGGTGCAGGTCCTCCCTCACCCCTCTACCAGCCACCTGCTGTGAAATAAAGAGATAATGAGCAGAAATGATGTGCCATGACACATCATTTCTGCACCGGGGGGTACCTGGTCATCCCCGTTGTTCACAGGCCACTCGCTGCCACGGCCGTACTGTCTCCACCTGCTCTTGCCACCCTGCTTGTGTCACCGTCATGGTCGTGGTTGTGTTGCCGCTGTGCTCATGCTTGCATTGGGCGTTCGCTTCGGTGCCGTCCTGCTCGATGTGCAGGGCCTGCTATCCTCCTCTTCACCCCCCTCCTGCTCTCCCCTCTCCCCTCTCCCCCTGCTCTCTGCCCCTTCCTCTGCTCTTCCCCCTTACTCGTACTCTTCCCTTACTCTCCTTGTGCTCCTCCTCGCGCTCGTGCTTGGGCTGCTTGGTGGGTGGGTGCTGAGCAAAAGCAGCCCACATCCCTCCTGAAAGGGAGGGGTGCTGGCCAGGCAAAGGGCAAGAGGCTAGGAGGCAGGAAGGGCCAAGGGCAAGGGCTGAGGCAGAGGGCGAGGGCAAGCGTGAGCAAGCGCCAGACGAGGCCTGGGCGGACGAGGGCAAGAAGGCGGGGAAGGGGACAAGGAGGCGGGTGAGATGGGGAGAGGGACGAGAGGGGCAAAAGGGGCAAAAGGGGAAAAGGGCGGCAGAGGACGAGATGGCCAGGGAGGGGGTGAGAGGGTGAGGTCGGCAAGAGGGCGGGGTCGACAAGAGGGCGAGGTCAGCAGGGTGAGAGGCCAAGGTCAGCAGGGCGAGAGGGTGAGGTCAGCAGGGCGAGAGGGTGAGGTGGGTAGAGGGCAAGGTGGGTGAGAGGGCAAGGGCAAGGGCGAGAGCGAGGGTGAAAGGGCAAGGGTGAAAGGGCAAGGGCAAAGGTGAAAGAGGGCAAGGGAGAGGGCAAAAGGGCGAGAGGGCAGAGGGCAGAGGGAAGAGGTCAGAGAGAGAGGGAGACGGAGATGGAGACAGCAGATGGCGAGACAGTGGGTGAACAAGACAACGGGCGAGAGTGCCCACCGCCGTCATCATTGTTGTACCTCCTGCCCTCATTGTTGTACCTCTTGCCCTTATCATCATCGTGCCCATTGTTGTTGTCATGTTGCCTGTCATTGTTGTCCTGTGCCTGCCGCTGCCATCCTGGTCGAGAGGGCGATGGTGGGTGAGAGGGCGGCGGTGGGCGCGGTGGTGGGCAAGAGGGTGGTGGTGGGCAGAGAGGTGTCTGAGCCCACATTCCTGTCACAAGAGGAGGGGCTCAGTAGCTTCGTTGCGTCATCATTGACATGAACGGTGTTCTGTGGAGGCAGGGGATGGTTAGTAGGGATGTAAATAGCATAAGAAAGAAATATACTTACCTTTTTTTGTGTTGCAGGGCTGCCTCGCAGTCAGGGGGTGAGGGAGGTTGTGGAGAAAGAGTCTGAAAGACTCAGATCAATGATGTTCAACATCATTGATCGCGGTTCAGCAGGATTCGGCTGCGCATCCCATTGGCTGGGATTATCGGCCCAATCCCATTTCCGTTCTGTTGGTCGACAACAGAACATCTCTGATGGATGCAGCATGCCTTGTATCTCTATTCAAATGTTCAGAAACTGTTATTAGTGTAGAATTAAATTTATGTATGTAGTTTCAACAAAGTATAGCAAGATTTAAATATTTTATGAGTGAATTCATCTCTGGGTCAGGCCAATTAGGGGACTCTCACCTCTGTATGTAGATTCCAAGAGGCAGAAGAAGCCAAATAAATATATAAAAATATCATACAGAGTGGCTAAATATGATAGTATTGAGGAATAGATCTCCCCTGATTAATTTATCAACTTTAGGATGTGAACTAAGAAATCATGAATGATGATGTTGATTCCGAAGCAAAAACCAACTCAAGATGTGTCAAATTTCGGACACTGGCTTGTATTGTAAGGTCCACATTGGAAATGCAGCCTAAATTTTTGGTATGTTGTTCCTACTCTCTCAATGATGTAAAATGCAAAGTTTTTTTAATTGTTCAGCTTGTCAAATGAGTGGTATTCAGCATGTTCAAACATCGGGAGAACGTAAATCACCACACAGAGCAGGTAATTCAGGCTCTTAGCTGGCTCTTACTCTCAGATAGTATTCGGACCTCCATAAATACATATACTACAGTAGTAAAATTAATTACCGATGGTCAATCCCAGAATTCTCATCATATTTCAAGCATATGAGCTATTCTGAGGTCGATGAGTGGAACACGGGCTGGTCGGACTGCCTGCGCCAGCCAATCACATTGTTTGTGGCATCTGCCAGATAAGCAATCAACAACAACAAGAGTTGTTGATCCTCATCTTCAACCACCACCTGGCCTTTCCCCTCATCCTCCCTCACTTCAAATGACCCCCCATGGCTGAAAAAAGAGATAAGTCATATGTTTTATTTACAAATAGGTGCTCTAATGTACACTTTAACTCAAATTAGGTCAACGAATGTCAACTTAAAGTTGACGATTGTTTTCTTCACCTCTCTTGCCCCTCTCCTGCCATAGGGATGTGGGCAGGGGCAGGAACCCCACCCCTCCGTCTCTCACCTCGCCTCTCATGCCCCTCCCCTTCTTTAGGGATGTGGGCAGAGGCACGGACAGACGAACTACGGTGACAGACAAGCGGTGGCGAGCGGAGAACCACAGCAACAAACAACGATGGCCACAAATGACGACAGTGATGAACAATGAATGATGACGACGATGGCGATGACAGCAGCCGAGACAGAATGACAGTGGGTGACAAACAACAATGGCGGGGGCATGACGAGGGTGAGGGCACAATGAGGACAGGGGGCACAATGAGGATGGGGGCACAATGAGGACGATGAGGGCGATGGCACGACAAGGATGGGGGGCACAATGAGGACGGCGAGGGCACCCTTCACCTCCGCCCTCGCCCCTCATTCACACCTCCCATCCTCTGCCCTGCCTTCTCACCCCTCATCTGCCCCTCATCTGCCCCTCATCTGCCCCTCATCTGCCCCTCATCTGCCCCTCACCCACCCTCATGCTCTGCCCCACCCTTTTGCCCTGCCCTTTCATAGCTACCTGTAGACACCCAGAACATGTGAATACGACCATTTTTGGCGATGTTATGGCCTAAACTGTGCTTCTATGCACAAAAATGCGAAAATGCGCACCTAATGCTCTGCCTGTCATGCATCCCTGGCTCATAAAAACTAGCTGATAATTTAGTATGCTACTAGAGCTTCAGAACGAGCCAATAATAATGGCCTTGCATGCATTATTGGTTATGCAATGGGCCTTTCGATGTTTATGTGCTAAAAACCTGAAAAATCGCACTCAAATCTCTATGCCACACATGTATCTATCCTTCCAAAACATTATGCATTCAGATAGAGGTTAATAAAGGCTACAAAACGCGCTATTCAGCATCTCCACGCGTTCATTTGTTCCAAAGATATACCTACAACACCTCACAAGATACCAGAAAAATCGAAAATGTGCACTCTTATATCCCTTCAAGCAAAGCTGGGGTTATTCCTGTCACTCCAACATAATCTGAACACTATCCTAGCACCCTCCCTTCTTTTTCTGCCCTCAAGACTGTGTAGAAACACCCCAATTCCATGACCAAAGACACTTCCTCCTTCTTGCCCGGGGGATTCCCACAATGTTGATGGTGGACATGGCATCCTTCTAGCATATCCTCTAGTGCCCCAAATCTCATCGGATAGCTCAGAATACTTACTATACTACTGTTAGAGTGATATAGAAAAAGTCCAATGCAAGTTGAATAAGAACTGAATATTTTATTCATGCAACTGTCCTTCTGCCTTCTCAATTGCCCTCTCCAAGATTCTACCTCGGATTGGAGGTATAGTCCTTGCTCTAAAATTTCATAAAAATGTGTTTAAAATATATATTATAGATTATAGTAACTATCAGGTGTTTGTAAACCCCTCTCAGAGGTGTGAGCAATGATACTACCTCCAGTTTCCAGGGTGAACACATTTGACAAACTAGGCAATATGGTGATCACCACTCCTCACCAGTCTGTTTGAGGTTCATTTCAGACCTCCTGCCTTCCACAATGACCCAATCACAATAGAACTTTTTGAGGACACTTAGAAGTAGTCAGTAGAATGTCTCTGCATTGTCTGATTAATTATATATATCCTTGATCTCCTTAAAAGTGGCAATCAGTTTGATTTTTATGTTATCTAAGGTGTCACATTGGTCGTCTCGGAGGTATCGGAATTTTAAGAGGAGATTGTTCCGATTCTGGGACATGTTTCTTCTTGAAGATTGGTGAAGAATTGGCAGTACTTTGTGGTCCCCCACAGAGTGCTATAGGACTCCACTGGACTCCAGTATATGTATCAAAATAGACTACTAACCAGTACCTATTACACATCAGAATAGATAATAGTCTGTTGGACCATTCCCCAAGTCCAACATATAGAATATGTAACAAGATGCTTAACAATCAATTGTTTTTAGGAAAAAACATGTAGAGCACCTTTGGCCGACCCTGAATCAAGTTATTTGATGTCATTAGCTGCTCTGCTTGGCAAGAAAAATGCAAAATACTGAAAAAGTAGATTACTTTTGCAAATTTTGGCATTATTTGGCTTATATCTTGTCATTAATAGAGCCAAATACCATCACTCAAGTGGATTCAGGATCATCATTTATTGCAATTATTTTCTCCTAAAAAGAAATTTTCTCACAGTCATGTGACCTGCATATCTCATATTGTTAGCACCCCTAGTCCCTGTGTAGATAGAGCACATTTTGGCAAAATCTAATTTGTTACATGTGACTCTGATATTGATGTCATCAGCAAACTTGATAGCTTTATTACTTTTCATCAATGCCAAGTCTGGGCCTAGCAATCATATATTTATTAATTGTTTCTATTTGAGGCCATAACATCAAAGTTTCAGAAGCTGACTCTGAAGGAATAGGCAAATAACAAGTCATGTGACTGGCCATCAATCTTGACATCAGTCTTCTATGACTATAACATCTCTCTGCATTGTTCACTGGACTCCACTGAAGTCCTATAGGAGTCCAGTGGAAGATGGACACTCCACTCCAGTATACTCCAGTGAACTCCAGTAGACTTTGGGTGGTGACTCCAGTGGACTCCAGTGAGCTCCACTGGAGTCCAGTAGGCACTTTTGGCTGGTGTTCCTGCTAATAGATTTCTACCAGACTCCACTGGAGTCCACTGGAGTCCTATAGGGATACATGGGGGAGTACAAAGACCTCAGAATTGGGTATCCCATGGGGAAAACAAGGTGATTATAGGTAGAAAACCCGAAATTGGCCACTGCAAGTGCATTTGGCATTATTAACTCCTGTATTCTTGCATGGAGGTACCTATATGGCTACCATTAACATGTATATATGTTACAGCTCACATAAGTAGCCTGGGGAATGGGAAATGGGGGCACATTTCTGGCTTTTCAGGGGGAGGAGGAAGGGGTGCTTATATTATATTAAAAGGGAGTCTATACCATGCTATGTGTTGTAAATAGTGAGTAGGTCACTGGGTGAGACTGACTGAAAAGTTCTACAGGTCTTGGATAATAATTGGGGGAGATACAGAAGTTCGCTTTTTGTGATATTGAGGGATGAGGAGTTTTGTAGGTATATCTTTGGAACAAATGAACGCGTGGAGATGCTGAATAGCGCGTTTTGTAGCCTTTATTAACCTCTATCTGAATGCATAATGTTTTGGAAGGATAGATACATGTGTGGCATAGAGATTTGAGTGCGATTTTTCAGGTTTTTAGCACATAAACATCGAAAGGCCCATTGCATAACCAATAATGCATGCAAGGCCATTATTATTGGCTCGTTCTGAAGCTCTAGTAGCATACTAAATTATCAGCTAGTTTTTATGAGCCAGGGATGCATGACAGGCAGAGCATTAGGTGCGCATTTTCGCATTTTTGTGCATAGAAGCACAGTTTAGGCCATAACATCGCCAAAAATGGTCGTATTCACATGTTCTGGGTGTCTACAGGTAGCTATGAGTTACCTAAAAATTATCGCGTCATTGTTCCCATCAATTTCAACCCAGGGGGAAGCCAAACGAGCCCAAAATGCGCCAGCAATGGCTATTTTGATGCCAGATCCCAATTTAGCAGCTTGTGCTAAAAATAAACACGCACCAAGTTAAGGTGACACCTCATACGCGCCATTTCGCAACATTCCACATCCCAGATTCTCCTGATTTTTTTTATGACATACAGTAACATACTATCACATTGGCCCTGGGCACTTTTTTCATAAAAAATGGCCCTGGTTGAGGCTGCAGAGCAAACAGGTCACATGACCAGTTCTCTGCAGTGCCCCGGGGTCCTGCTTGGCCTATCCTGCCCCCATTCCACCCCCTCCTGCACCTCCCACCACCTGCCCACCCCGGAAATGGAATGCTTACTAATTTATTTACATCCTCCTCATCACCCTTGCAGATGCCGGGCACCCGGCAACCCCTCCCTCTTATTAGGAGAGCCTTCCCAATGCGGAAGGTAGCATATTGCCCTCCAGGGCTTAGATTCATAGTTAGGAAACTGCCTTGTATTTCTATATTTTTCTAACTGATACAGGTACCTTTTGCCCTTTGCCCCACCCCTCGACTTTTGCCCTGCCCCTCGCCCTTCGCCTGCACCCTTTGCCTCCGCCCAACAACCTCTGCCTCTGCCCCTCGACATTTGCCCCACTCATTGCCCACTGCCCATTGCCTGTGTCACCCTTCCTCCCCCTCCTTTGCCTTTGCCCTTGCCCTTTGCCCTTTGCCGTTGCCCTTCACCCCCGCCTGTTGCCTCCTGCTCAGCACCCACAACTAGCAGCTCAAGCAGAAGGGGAGCATGAGGAGGGGGAGCACAAGCACCTGAGGAGGGCAAACAAGCAGAGGTGGGAGCAGAGGAGGGAGCAGAGGGGGCAGAGGTGGCCCCACGAGTACACGAGGGGGCAGATGGGGCCCCAACGAGCACAGGAGGGGGCAGAGAGGCCAGAGGGGCGAGGGAGGACCCACACCCGTCTCCCTGAGCAGAAATGGCACACTATAACACACTGTTTCTGCTCATTTTACCTATATTTCATAGCAGGTGGCCCTACTAGCCACCTGCATCCTGTAATTTTTCTTTCTGTACAATTTAATATATTTTTTATGCATTTTTTTTTTGGCTGCAAAGGGTAGGGGAGCGGAAACGATGTGTCGTACATGTTGTTTGTCCTCATGTTCCCCTTATCTCATAGTGGGTGGCTGGTAGAGCCACCTGCACCATGTATATATTTTATTTGAATTTAATATGATTTTTTTTGTAATTTTTCATGTGTTATAAGATATCTCTGAGCTTGCCAGACGTTGTGACAGATGTCGGCGACAGCAATATAATGAATGAGTCATGGTAATTACAATATGAACTTAAAATAGTTCCAGGGCCCCGAAAAAAAGCTGCGTCATCCAAACACGCCTGGCCCAATGCACCCAATCCCATCCCCCCCCCCAACAATGGGGGAAACAGTGCACAACAATGAGGAAATATGTTTTCCTCATCGTTGGTGCCTTTTTCCTGTCGAAAACGGAGGTGGGACTGCCGAAAACAACCAGGAAACAATGCTCAGGAAACAATGCTTGGGCATTGTTCCTTGTGTTGTTTGCTCATGTTGACAGGCCCTGCCCACAGCATGGAGCCCTGGCACACATGGCAATGGCCTCTCCATGGGTGGACTGTATAATGACAGTCCTGACATGTGAGTATACCCTGTTTAAATACAGTGTTTGATACATTTAAGTGGCGTATAGAAGTGTAGTCAGTAGGATGAAGACAAAAAAAAATATTATGACTCACTCTGGTACCCATTGCGCTGCCACCTGACTCCCAAATTCTCACTTTCCCAATTCTTGCATTGCCATTCCTTCAATTCTCTTCTTGTTCTGCACCATGTCCTGGAATATGTTCATGAGAATCTAATCATTGAATGAAAAAGAAACAAGTACATACCTGTTGTTGAGACCATGAACTGAGGGCTACGTGAGTATGCGCTGGCAGGAGAGATGCACTGTGAAGGGGAAATGTGTGATAGAAAACATACCTTTGAAAAGAGAAGATAGCGCGTTTGAAAGTGTAAGGAAATGGGAAGAGTTATGCAAGTACAGTTCTGGCAGGTTTGACAACACTTGCTGCACACTTTGTTTGGTGGAGCTATGACAGCCAAACAGACATGCCACAACCATCATGTGACTTTGTTGACTGCATGACAATGTGATGATTCTGTGCCATGCATGGCACAGATGTGACCATTCTCCCCAGCTGAATACTGCAAGAAATAAATCAGCTATGCTTCTCAAAATTTGTACCAGTGATCTCAATGATATGAATGAATGATATTCCAAAATTTCAAATTTTTATATTATGTCTGCACAGTTTTGAAAAGGTGTACCTCTAATATCTCAGTAAATATTTGATCAAATAACATATAACTTTGCAGAAATTATCAACAGTATGTATTGTAAATGCCTGTAAATTTTTATGTCCATAGCTGTAGCAGTTCTTGAGATATTCAGCTTCCACCTCCTGTATGAGCGCTCAGCCTGTCTGAGTTTGAAATGACTTAGAGCTTGAAAATGATGCACTTCCTCGCAGTGTAGGCTCAATATCTCAGCAACCGTTTAAGCTATAAGGCTGAAATTTTTTGTGCAAGTACCTCTGGTATCCTTGTTAATGGATCTCAGCTCGTGAATCTTCTGCTTTATTATTTGTTGAGATATGCAAATGCGGGTTTTTGAAAAAGCGCAACCCTAATATCTCAGGTGATTTGATGCAAAATGTTTGAAAATTTGCAGTCACCTTTGCATATAATGTATCTAGCAGTGTGTAAATTTTCATAAAGATTGGTTGAGCGGTTGCGGAGGAATTCCATCTTGACCCTTGAAAAAGTGCCCACCAGTGGCTGTGCTGAGGGTGCAATGTGCATACTTTACCCGAAGTTGAAGACTCAATATCTCAACAACTGCTTGAGCTATCAAACTGAAATTTGGTGTGCAAGGACCTTTGATATGCTTGTTAATGGATTCCAGCTTATGAGCTTTCCACACTATTATTGGTTGAGATATTTCAATGCAGGTTTTTGAGAAAGCGCAACCCTAATATCTTTGTCATTTCTTCAGGAAACTGTCTGAAAATGTACGAGTGCGTGAGCATATATAGTATCTAAAAGTGTGCAAATTTTTGTGACAATTGATTGAGTGGTCTCCAAGGAATTTCATCTTGACCCTTGACAAAGCACTCAGTAGTGGCTGTGCTGAGCACACAGTATGCTTCAGTGATAAATCACCCAAAGTCAGCACTATGTGTAGTAGCACATCCTTATCAGGTCCAATTCCCTATACATTATATACTGTCAGAACCGCATTTTTATGCCCATTCTGGTTATGGCATTTATTTTTCTTATAAATGCATTCTTTCTATGTAATTCACAATATTCCTGTAAAGAGTTTGTGGTTTCTGGGTTTCTTCATGCAATATCTCCATAATTGCTATGTCCATTGCATTTATACTCTGGGACCCAATAGTATACATACATGTGATAATGTGTACCAAGTTTCAGCCAGTTTGGTCACCATTTGCCTACAAAATGTGATGTTCTTGACTTTGCTCAATAAGAAAAATGCGCACATCTATATCTCTGGTGATATTGGATGTATCTTTATAAAAAAAATTGAGACTACATGCACTATCTATGTATCTACATGTACACAAAAAATTAGAGCAAGAGAGTCTGTTTTGCCCCTGCTATAAGCAAATCTTGCTGTGCTACTCCCCCTCTACAGAGGCACAAATAATATACCTGGTGTCTTTTTATTCAATGAAGCACTTGAAGAATGGATATAAGAATATTCTGAAATACCTTTCTATTGGTTTTGGAGGATGTCTGCTATTGAAACCTCAAGTACTGTCCATCTAAATAAATGTCAGGCATACATTTCTTTTCCCATGTGTCCTGGCTAGAAGATCATGAGAAAATGAATTATATGAGCCCAGACAGTGTAAATTTCATTTTATCTACCAATTAGGAGAACCCAGAATGTCTCCAGGAGGAGGTCAAGACAGTGAAGACACCTCAGGACAACCACAGGACAGCACAAGTGCCCTGAGGTGCACCTGACTTGGCTGCTGATCTTAAGGACAACCTAAGACAAAAAGGTTTTTCCTGATGCACCAGCAGGGACTTACGAGTCATGCAGACTTCAGGAAAATATGGTTCGAGTTGACTGACAATGCCAGAAAGGTATGTGTTGACAGATCAAGGGTTTAGATGGTGGTACATGTAGACAGTGTAGAAAGAAAGGGTATCAGGAGTAGGAGCCACAGGGAAGTTGTGATTCTTGACAAATGTGAGGTAAGAGTTGAGGGCTGATCCATAGTTACCAAGAGTAGATTCATCCAAAGCATGACCAAGGGCTATTGCTCTCTCATGCACCAGCTTTTCTCTAGAACAAGCAGCTCGAACACGCTGCCTGGCTGGGCAGGTACCCTCCATCATAGTTCTGCTGCCCCCAGCGTTGTTTGAGGGGGTTGAAACATAAGGGTGTCATTAGATGATGGCGCCCAACTCCAAGGTTCAAAAGACAAGATCTTCAAACATGGTTCCAAGGTCAAGGCCCTGGTAAACTCTGAGTGTGACAAGGCATCAGCAACTTGGTTTTCCTCACCTGGTATGTGCAGAACATGTAAGCTGTGGTCGCTGAGTAAGAGAATGTTGACTGCGGCTTTGAGAAGGTGATTATAAGCAGGAAGTGCATGTAATGAGTTGATTCAAAGATGTCGACAGTGTTACTGTTGTCTGTGAATATGATAAAGTGACCATCTCCTCGGGGTGGCGAGCACAGATGAGCATCATAAAGGGCAGAGAGAATGCAAAGAGCCTCAAAATAGAAGATAAGCTCAGGGTTAGCATGAGATGGAGTGGGTGAATAGAACCCTAGTCCAAGGTTAGGGTACCAGAAGCCCATCCCTTTTGGGCACACATCACAATAGACCAGTGATGTGGTGTTGTCGAAGTCCCACAACAACGACTTCAACAAGAACACCCTGCTTGAGTTGTCCAGCAATCTCCTTCCCCAGTGAAAGTCCTTGCATATACTGTTGTTCACCCACACAGAAGAAGTTGAGTCTTTTCTCCCAACAAGATTTGGATAAAAGTTATTGAGCATTGGACACAACAGCGGGTATGTGTTCAAGGCCCAGTTCATCCAACCACCGAGCTCATACCATCTCTTCAGTCTCTCCTTCCTCTTCTCACCACACCAATACTCCAGCTCCCTCACCAACTTCTCTCTGGCAGCATCAGGGGGTGTGAAGGTCATCAAGTTGGGGTCAACTTGGATGTCAATGATCATCAACAGTGAGCTGAACACCTGCTTTCTCTTCTTGTGAGGCACACTTAGCTCATCCCACGGTGATAGCAGAATTGCTTGATCATGAGGGAAGGTTCTCCCATACGGCTCATATAAGAGAGTGTCACGGGCTAGACCACATCCCCAAGAGTCGTTGATGTAGGTCCCCATGCTCGCCACACCCTTCTTCCTCTTGGCAATCCATCCAATCAGCAAGTTGAATGCAATAAAAAGCACACCTGACCCACAGTTCCTGAACTTGTTGTTTCTGTCCACCATCAGGAAAAACCTTTTTGTCTTAGGTTGTCCTTAAGATCAGCAGCCAAGTCAGGTGCACCTCAGGGCACTTGTGCTGTCCTGTGGTTGTCCTGAGGTGTCTTCACTGTCTTGACCTCCTCCTGGAGACATTCTGGGTTCTCCTAATTGGTAGATAAAATGAAATTTACACTGTCTGGGCTCATATAATTCATTTTCTCATGATCTTCTAGCCAGGACACATGGGAAAAGAAATGTATGCCTGACATTTATTTAGATGGACAGTACTTGAGGTTTCAATAGCAGACATCCTCCAAAACCAATAGAAAGGTATTTCAGAATATTCTTATATCCATTCTTCAAGTGCTTCATTGAATAAAAAGACACCAGGTATATTATTTGTGCCTCTGTAGAGGGGGAGTAGCACAGCAAGATTTGCTTATAGCAGGGGCAAAACAGACTCTCTTGCTCTAATTTTTTGTGTACATGTAGATACATAGATAGTGCATGTAGTCTCAATTTTTTTTATAAAGATACATCCAATATCACCAGAGATATAGATGTGCGCATTTTTCTTATTGAGCAAAGTCAAGAACATCACATTTTGTAGGCAAATGGTGACCAAACTGGCTGAAACTTGGTACACATTATCACATGTATGTATACTATTGGGTCCCAGAGTATAAATGCAATGGACATAGCAATTATGGAGATATTGCATGAAGAAACCCAGAAACCACAAACTCTTTACAGGAATATTGTGAATTACATAGAAAGAATGCATTTATAAGAAAAATAAATGCCATAACCAGAATGGGCATAAAAATGCGGTTCTGACAGTATATAATATATAGGGAATTGGACCTGATAAGGATGTGCTACTACACATAGTGCTGACTTTGGGTGATTTATCACTGAAGCATACTGTGTGCTCAGCACAGCCACTACTGAGTGCTTTGTCAAGGGTCAAGATGAAATTCCTTGGAGACCACTCAATCAATTGTCACAAAAATTTGCACACTTTTAGATACTATATATGCTCACGCACTCATAAATTTTCAGACAGTTTCCTGAAGAAATGACAAAGATATTAGGGTTGCGCTTTCTCAAAAACCTGCATTGAAATATCTCAACCAATAATAGTGTGGAAAGCTCATAAGCTGGAATCCATTAACAAGCATATCAAAGGTCCTTGCACACCAAATTTCAGTTTGATAGCTCAAGCAGTTGTTGAGATATTGAGTCTTCAACTTCGGGTAAAGTATGCACATTGCACCCTCAGCACAGCCACTGGTGGGCACTTTTTCAAGGGTCAAGATGGAATTCCTCCGCAACCGCTCAACCAATCTTTATGAAAATTTACACACTGCTAGATACATTATATGCAAAGGTGACTGCAAATTTTCAAACATTTTGCATCAAATCACCTGAGATATTAGGGTTGCGCTTTTTCAAAAACCCGCATTTGCATATCTCAACAAATAATAAAGCAGAAGATTCACGAGCTGAGATCCATTAACAAGGATACCAGAGGTACTTGCACAAAAAATTTCAGCCTTATAGCTTAAACGGTTGCTGAGATATTGAGCCTACACTGCGAGGAAGTGCATCATTTTCAAGCTCTAAGTCATTTCAAACTCAGACAGGCTGAGCGCTCATACAGGAGGTGGAAGCTGAATATCTCAAGAACTGCTACAGCTATGGACATAAAAATTTACAGGCATTTACAATACATACTGTTGATAATTTCTGCAAAGTTATATGTTATTTGATCAAATATTTACTGAGATATTAGAGGTACACCTTTTCAAAACTGTGCAGACATAATATAAAAATTTGAAATTTTGGAATATCATTCATTCATATCATTGAGATCACTGGTACAAATTTTGAGAAGCATAGCTGATTTATTTCTTGCAGTATTCAGCTGGGGAGAATGGTCACATCTGTGCCATGCATGGCACAGAATCATCACATTGTCATGCAGTCAACAAAGTCACATGATGGTTGTGGCATGTCTGTTTGGCTGTCATAGCTCCACCAAACAAAGTGTGCAGCAAGTGTTGTCAAACCTGCCAGAACTGTACTTGCATAACTCTTCCCATTTCCTTACACTTTCAAACGTGCTATCTTCTCTTTTCAAAGGTATGTTTTCTATCACACATTTCCCCTTCACAGTGCATCTCTCCTGCCAGCGCATACTCACGTAGCCCTCAGTTCATGGTCTCAACAACAGGTATGTACTTGTTTCTTTTTCATTCAATGATTAGATTCTCATGAACATATTCCAGGACATGGTGCAGAACAAGAAGAGAATTGAAGGAATGGCAATGCAAGAATTGGGAAAGTGAGAATTTGGGAGTCAGGTGGCAGCGCAATGGGTACCAGAGTAAGTCATAATATTTTTTTTTTCGTCTTCATCCTACTGACTATATATCTACATTATGATATCTTCTTTCTATGCTATGGGTGAGTGCATATTTCAGTAGAAGGGAATTGTATTATAGCATACAGTACTAGTATTAGTGTAATCTGTTCAATGTACATTAGATAGAGAAATATAATTGAGTCTTCTTCCAATACATGAAGTGTGAACAGAATAAAAAAATAAAACATCCTGAATAACATCTACTGTAGTCTTAGTCTGTTCTCTGAGCATCTTGAGGACACCCTGAGGATGCTATAAGATTTTACACCTAGGAACGTAGGCTTCAGGAGCCTTACTGTTCTTGGTGTTTTAGATGTCTCAGATTGTCCTCAAGACAACCTAAGACAAAAAGGTTTTTCCTGATGACATAACACTTGTCGTTGATCTGAGTGACCTGCTTGATCTGCCAGAATGGGTGCATGGGGATGATTCAGTAAGCCTCTGCAATATCTGACTTCCATACAACCTTCTCCTCATTAGGCGCTTGTTTGTGCAGGTCAATCAGCATCTCTCCAAAGTGTTTGAGATTATCGAGCGGGTATCCTGTGACAGATGGGTGGTGGATCATACTGTTTAAAGAGTGTGGGCCATGGCTGGAAGGAGGTCCTTGCCAAACAAAGGTGAGAAGCGCTCTTTCTTCAGTTCCATCTTCAATTGATTTCTCAGGAAGGCTGCCTTTCCATCATCCTTTGGCAAAGCTTTTGAGCAGTTGTTGGTGGTTGGATACCCAGTTTTACAAGTGTCTGCCCATGGCCAAAAACCTTCCCAAAGATCTGTAATAACTGATTGGACAAAGGGCTGGTTAGGGTAGTCCGATAGGTACGACTCAAAGACATTGACATTGATTGGGCTGACAATCTTGAAAAGGTGAGGGTTATCGTGAATGGTTTTTGCTACTATCAGGTCATTTAGTGCTGATGCAGGGGATTGAGGTAGGGAGATTGCAGACTCCGTCCACTCAGCTGTGGTCAGCAAAAGATCGGATTCCGGGTCCCAGACATTGTAGCAAAGATACCTGAGTTGCTTCCCACAAAGCAGCAAGCTAGTGATTGGAAGTACATTTTGACTTTCCATGGCCTTTGTTTCTGCAGGCCTAACAGACATGTTTGTAGAAGCAATTATCTTCATTGTATTTGCATCCACGGTTGCCATTGAAACATTTGCAGATCTCGAGCTTCTTTTGACTGCCGCCACCTTGCTTCGAATGGCTGCCTTTAGCCTCTCCACTTCACTTCGAAGATGAAGTCTCCATCAGCATGAAGGATAGACTCAGCAAGGTTGTGAAAGTGGTTGTAATCGGTGAGAAGAGTGTTTTGTCCACCATCAACGAGGTTTCTGACAGAGGTATCAAAGAGGATGACTCATCCATGGGCGCTATCCTGTTTGGTGGCAAAAAGATCCTCAATATGTTCCTTGTACTTGTCAAGCTCTTCCTGCCAGTGGGGAAAGAGGAAAGTGATAGCTCGTTTGGCCTTTCTGAATGCAGCGGACCAGTCTGAGCCATTCCTAACTTGCTGTTTGCCATCAGGGACTGCAAAGACGATTTCAGTGTTACCCAGGCAGCCTCTTCTCTCTGCATCAAGTTGGATACAGTGTTTTGAGGCAAAGAATTGGTTGAAGTTGACAGACTCTCCTCGCAGGATTTGGTCCCACTGGGATAGAGGGATTCCATCAGGCAATCCTTGGGCTGTTCATAAGAGAGTCTTGAATCCAGGGAGGTCAGAGCCAAAGGTATGAAGGGTACAACAGGTCTTGACACAGCTCAGTTGTTGGTTGTCAACAGTGTTCACATTGAACCAAGGCATGTCCTCTTCCTTGACTCTTCATCAACTACTCAGATGTTCATCCTCTCCATCAGACTTGGCTTTGTTCCCTCCTTTGGAAAGCTGCTCGATGAGGTCCTCAACTTCCTTGCAATGCCTTTTCCCTGCAGCCTTGGGGTCACTCTGAGACTGTCCAGGCTCATCTGTGCCTCTAGCTGGCTCTGTGTTGAATCCTTTGAGATAGGACATGAGTGCCCATTGACGTTCACCGCTGCTTGCCCCTGACCACTTATCAAGTTCTTTGACGATTTGCATGGCCATTTGAAACTTAGTGAGGTCTCCGCTTCTGAATTGTGCCAGGACATGCTGGCTGTTTCTTGGGATTTGGCATCACCAACATCTGTGGGGGTATCAGTGGTGTTGCTAGCAGGGGTCTCTCTTTGGGGATTGTCATCTTGTGTCATAGCATGAAGAACAATGTACAGAGCGTAAAATTATAAAGAACTACTCATCTGTGAGCAGACCATGAGTGTAACTATGGAAAAGGATGGCCTTAAGAACACACCTGGGCAAAGACAGTGAGTGTAGCAGAGGAAGAGGATGGGCCGCCCTCTCTTCCTTGCTACCACTGTCATCTTCCCTAATTATCTCTCCTATCCCGGATATGAGACTCAAACCTAATTGGCTGCTGCTGACAGTAGCTGGACCACTCCACTCCGTTGAGCAAAGAGTGGCCTGCACACAGACGAGTCCCTTGGTGTCGTTCATTGGACTTGCATAAAGATTTCTCTTTAAACTCAACAATTTCTATCTCTACTTGTCTCTCTTTCTCTTTGATGTGTCATATTTATAATAAACACACACCATATATAGATAAATTACATGTTAAGAGAACTAGCTGAAGAATTGATTAATCCAGCCTTCTTTGCAAGAGAATAGAAAATAGAGGATTCATTTGCTAGCAATATTTCTGGAGAATCAAATTCCTTGATCTAAGAAAGTAAATTAACCAAGAAGCTGAAATTATTGTGGAAATATATATACATACCATGCCAGCATCTATGACAATTACACGGTCAGACTCAATAATTGTATTGAGTCTGTGACTATATTCATCTTATTAGTTCTATTCAATATCTAAAAGTAATAGAAAACTTACGCAATTGTCAATATAGTGATATTAGCAAATGCTGGTCCATGTATAATGTCTTGAATAGCTTTATCTGTATCAAGATCAACAGCTGATGTAGCTAAATAAACAATAAATATCAATATAAATACCAAGTATCAGAAAAATACTTACCTTCATCAAGAACAAGAATTTTTGTCTTTTATTTCCACTAAAATTAGTAAGTATGTTGAAAAGTTTTGAACATTGTACCTTTCGAAGTAATGCTCGTGCAAAACATAATAGTTGACGTTGACCAGCAGACAGTGATGAGCCTCCTTCATAAACAGGAGCATCTAATTTTCCAGCTAAATTCTCAATGTACTCTTTTAAATGAGCCTGTAATAATGTTAAAACATTCCAAAGAAAAAAAATACAAATTACATACTTGATCCAGAGCTGTCCAAATGTCTACATCAGAATATTCACCAGCAGGATCAATATTTTCTCTCAATGTTCCTTCAAATAGATCTGGAGATTGAGGAACAATTGAAAGAGCAGATCGTACTAAGTACTATTAGCTCAAATCATAATATATTTAAGAAAGTACTCACAGTCATACAAGCCAATTCTTGTAATATCAATAGAATCAATAAAAATAGACCCAGCAACTGGTTCAATGATGCGGAAAAGAGCAAGAAGCAGCTATTAGAACATTTTGAGCAAATGAACAATTATTTGTAAAGAATTGAGAAAAAACAAACTGAAGATTTTCCTGCACCAGTTCTTCCACAGATACCAATCTTTTCTCTAGATTTCTGCAAGAAAAAATTAATATTATACTAAAAATAATTGATAGGAGATCTTACAATTTTCAATGAAATATTCCTTAATACCAAGTCTAGACCATGACGATATTGAGTTGAATAATCTCTATAAATGTATTCAGTAAAAAAAAATTAAGCATATATAATCCTTACCTGAATTCAATGCTACCTTCTACAGGCCAAACATGAGAAGGCTTCATGTCAGGTATTTCTTGAGGTGCTTCAGACTCAATGTCTGTCTGGTGTAGTATTCGCTCAACACTAACAATGTTTTGCTCAACTTCACTAGCAGAGCGAACAACCCAATTCTGTAATAGAAATAATAACTTTAATGACAAGAAATAAAGAAAAAAGACTACTCACCAGTGAAGAAGTGGTGTTAAGAGCATAAGACAAAACCAGACCAACAGATCCAGCATCAACTCCAGTAGTAATCAAAGCTGATATACCAAGTAGAGCTACAATTAAAATAATCATAGCACCTACAAACTCAAGTCTAACAGCAAGCCAACGATTAACAGAAATACTAGGTAGATAGCAGATCTGGTTCTGGTCTAGATGTATCTGGTTTGCAGCAATAAAGATTTCCTGTTGATGAAATGCCCGAATAGTTGATAAACCTGAGAGAGATTCAGAGAACCAGATGAAAATAGGTGAACGAGTGACTGCATCAATGCGCTTGAGTTCACGTGAAGTAGCAAGATAGTATCTTTGGAATTCAGAATTTAGAATATGAATTTTAAAAATAGAGAATTGACATACTTCATAACTTGCAGATAGAACCAACCAAGAGGAAGAACAGCAATCAAGAAAGGTGGAAAACTAGTTCCAATAACCACAATAATAGACAGACAAACTGCCAGTGTGCGAATAAGGCCTTGAATGACTCGGGCAAGAATTTGATCAACAACATATGTGTCTCGAGAAAAGAGATTCAAGATGCTGATGAAATACAATCAATATTCATAGATATAGATATATATAGAGAAGCATACCGGCCAGTAGGTGTAAGTTCAAAAAAGCTCAAAGGAGCATGTATCAAGGACTCTAACATCTAATAACTATATTGAGAAAAATATATTGACTTGAAAAAAAAACTTACAGAATCATGAAGATGCTTAGCACTGCGTAAAGCACAGTAAACCCACATTGTGATTGCAGATATAGCACCAAGAAGGCTTGAGGAAAGAGAAAAACAGCCATATAATAGCAGATACTTGAATATGCCAGAATTGCTGCCAATTTTTTGATTGTGTTCTCCCCAATATCCAAGAGTAAGAGTAGCAAAGACTGAAGCTGCTTGCTGGAAAACAGTTGCAAAAAGAAAGAAAGCAAATCCTGTCTTTGAAGCTGCTTGAATGTATTGCATATAGACATCTGTCTTAACTTGTCCCTGCTCTTGATGCTCTGTTGAAGGACCAGAGGATGAAGCATGGGTCTTCAGAGTTGAAGCAATACGAGCCTTCTGGAAGCTTGCTTGTTGTTTAAGTTTCTTAGATAGACTAGACAGGTCTTCAGATTTAACATCCTCTTGATCATCTTTACTCAATGGAGTTGCAGTTCCAGAGATAGTAAATGGAGTTGATGAACCTGAGCTGTTCTTTGTTCCATGGCTCTTTCTATATCACAGAAATTCTTAAGTTCTAGTCTTACAAAGAGAAGTTAAATGCTTACACAAGCTTTGCAACTTCACTGCTAGAATTTAATACAAGGGTCTGATATGATCCATGTTCAAGAATAATACCATGATGAATAAAAGCAAGAAAGTCAAAGTGCTGGATAAATGCAATACTGTTTGTCACAAGAATGCAGGCCTTTGTTGCAAGAAGACCATTTGGACCAATGACATGATCTACAACTGAAATGAGATTATCTGATAGTACCAGAACCAAAAGAGCTCACCAAATACATGTTGAGCAACATGACTGTCAACAGCTGCCAAGCAGTCATCAAGAAGAACCCTGCATATATAAGCACAATTATCTAAGTCCAAGTATAAGTGTCAACCTACAAATCAGCTCGTGCATAGACAGCTCGAGCAAGTGCAATCCGTGCACGCTGACCACCACTCAACTAGAGGGGAGTAAGCATCTGCTGAATAGAAGGGCCAATAATACATACTGTAATACCTAGAGAAAGAATAAGTCTTGTTCACCAAGATTGAAGTATGAAACCTACCCTTCTCACCCACCTCAGTCAGATCACTATTTGGCATAAGCATCAAGTCTTGATGGAGTGCACAGCCTAAGCATCATTCATTAGACTTCACAAGAAGGAGAAGCTGGAGCATCACCTACCTTCAATGACCATATTGTAAAATGCCTCATCATACTCATGTGAGAAAAGTATATTGTCACGGATGGTTGCAGACAAGATCCTACAAACAGATAAGTATCAACATAAAAGGATATTCCTTGGACTTACCAAGGGTTTTGCGGAGCATATGCAATACTTCCACACACTACAACTTCTCCATCCAGACAGATCATATCCCCAATGATAGCAGAAAGAAGGCTCGACTAGAAGTTATTGGTTGAGCATACAATCAACTGATGCATATTCACAAAGATGAACTCACCTTTCCGGCTCCTACACGACCTAAGATCCCAACAAGCTCCCCCTTCCGGACTGAAAGGTTAATTCCTTCCAGTGTGAGCTGAGTCTTCTTCTTTGACCATGAGAAGTCACCATCCTTGATAGCCAGGACTTCATCACCAGTTTGAAGCATAGGCCGGTCAATGAATTTACGAGAATCCCGCTGAAGTTCATCAGCTCCGAGGAAAGATGACAGACGTTGCACAGAGACAACGGCCTCAATTATGTTTGATGTTACTTGACTGAACTGAAGAGAGTTTCAGGATATGCATCACAAAAGTTGGATAACGCAGTGACGCACCATTGCCAGTGGAAACTGAAGGAGCATAAACAATGAGATGGCCGGGAAGATAACATCCGAGGTCAGAGTTGTTGAGGACGTGACCGCAGCAGTGGCAAATGAGCTGAAGGCGACAAGAAGTGGAATACCGCTCCAAAGGGCTGTATTAGCTGCCTACGGGACGATAAGCAAAGGTACAGACAACAAGTGGCATGACTAACCGTAACAACACCAATTTTTCTCAACATTTTTAACTCTTGATTGTTCCGTACATCCATGATTTTGCGAATGAAGCTGTATTCCCAGGCATACAATTTGATGCTGAAAGGGATTCAACTTCGTTGCCAAAACATAAAATCCAAAACAGGAACTCACCTTTTTATGTTCGCCAGCAGTTCGCTCATCAGCCGTGTTCGCTTGTCCCGGTTCTTCATCTGCTGCTCTTGCATGCGTTTCAAGATGCGGGCGATAACTAATACATCTTGGAGCGACGAATAGAAGGAAGAAAACAGCACCCACGAGTATTCAAAGGAATTGAAAAGATCATGATCGCGACTCCAACAAAGGCGGCCCAACCTAGAAGGCTGTATAGCGAGATGAAGGCCAAAATTATCTGAATGGCGGTCATGAACATCCAAGATAGTGCAGACAACAACTGCAATTACCTGCAATGGCCCAGATATCGCAATCAAACCATAGGTGCAGAGATCTTGCAAGCGAGTTGCGTCGACGGACATCAAGTTAACGATGTCGCCAGTTGCGCGAGTCCTCTCGTCGTTCGAGAGAACAAGGGCCTTCCCATAAATAGCGGTGACAAGGCCAGCGCGAACCCGCATACCGGTTTCGAACGTACGTTGAAAGTACTGCCCGAGGCCGCGATTATTAAAAGTCGCAAAAGAAGAGAGCGAAGGTACACAGACCTGGTTTAGGCAGATCGTCTGAACCACCGACGCAATGAACATTATCAGTGCAATCGCGAAACCCTCTATTTTACTCGGTCGTTCATTTGGTTGGAGACGCGAGTTTTGATACTCGGAGATGTAGCTGAGCAGCCATCGAAGGAGTTGTGGTTGAAGGAAAGCAAGAAGGTCTTGCAAGACTTTCAAGCCGGCCGCGAATGCGTAGGGTCTTCCGTAAGCAACAAATAGTGCTTTCCAGAGAGTGCTTCGAAATGGCGTCAGAAAGGCGAAACAAGGCAGTACCAAAAACACAGCTTACTATCTTTCCATGGCATTCTTGAGATCCTGACCGAGATTCGCGGACTCATCTGACGATTTTAGAGGAGGGAGATCATCTACTGTGATGTACTGCGAGGCACCCTTCTTCATCAATGGCGTCATCCAGGAGAACGTCTATTTAAAGGTAAACGTCAAACCAAGATACTGCTATATGGATGGACGGCGCATATACGAACCCAAATGCTGTAGATATTGGCTTTGAGGAGCGGGCTTTCCTTGCTCAAGTTGTCGGACGGTAGGAGTCCAACCTCCGGCCCAAAACATTCGAGGGCATATGATATAGCGCCAGCTCCGGCGGTCATCAATTTCAGAGACAGAATGACGACGAAAGAGTGAAGTCCTTTCAATATTACAGTTCTCGTCCAAACAGCTACTGCGCAAATGTACAGTGGCCAGAAGACCAGAAGCAGTGCTGAAGCGGATCTTGTGCGAGTGTGGTTGAAATAGGTGAAGACGACAACGGCGGCCAAGGTGAGTGGCTCTACGATGTACGATTGCAGGACCGGAACGGGCTTATGGAGATAGGCGACGAGGACAACATTGACTAAACTGGAACCAAAGGAAATGGTGAGGAAAGCCTAGACAGTGTGGATGAACGTCAACAATGGTGGAGAAGGAGGACGATGGGATCGACGCACGAGCTTTGCCCGCAATATCCATGTACTTTTACGAGATCTCGCCGACGGGTCCGTGTTGTATAGTGCGAGCGATTTTGAGACGGCAATGAGCAAAGCAGCGGCAAGAAGGCCAGAGATGAGGAAGCCTTCCTCGAAGCAAGGGGTGGTGTCAAAGTCCCTGAGGCGTGAGACGAGCTGCCAGCCCTCGATGTCGCGACAAGTAGCCATGGTTGGAGCCAAAGCCTGAGATGGAGAAGGACGCGTCGAACAGCGATGCTGACAAAGTTCGTCGCTGCCGGATTCGGATCGGGTGGCGGACTCTTTCGCCAAGTTCAGGTTCAAAATAATATGTATTACAGGGGTATTTTCTACAAGTCCTTAGTCGTCGAGACTGGGCAATTTATCGCTGACAATCTCCTCTCCCAGCGCCACCTTTTTGAACAGCTCGTAGGCCCTGTCGAGGTCATCGTTGATGATGACAAGATCGTGGACATTGGGCTCCTTTGCAAACGCGATCTCCTTTAGCGCAGTCGTGAGCCGCTTTTGTACCGATGCCCCGGACTCTGTGCCTCGGCTCCGCAGACGATCTCGCAATGCCGCCAATGAAGGTGGGGAGATGAACAGATAGACGGGATTGAGGTTGGTATTTTTTATCTGACGGACGCCCTACGATGGACGTTGAGAGCTGGTGACGGGCCAAGAGACAGATGCCTACCTGGGCCTCGATATCGAGAATACATCGGCGTCCCTCCTGCTGGACGTGGCGGACAGTCTCGAAGCTTGTGCCATAGTAGTTGCCGGAGAACTCTGCGTGCTCTATGAAAGCGCCTTCGTGGATGAGGTCCTTGAAGCGCTGGGGGGTGACGAAATGGTACTGCTTGCCGTCGACTTCGCCTGGGCGTGGGTTGCGGGTGGTATGGGAGACGCTGAAGCCAAATTTGTCGGGGAATTCTGCGAAGAGACGGAGGAGGAGGGTGCTCTTGCCGACACCGGAGGGCCCGGAGAGGACGAGGGGCCTCAGAAAGCCAGCGGGGCGGGGGGACATCACTGTCAGCGAGCAAAGGCGGGTAGCATGTGACACCGCGTGACAACCATCAGTTGTGTTCTGCACATTTTGTCGCCATCCCCCTTTCTCTCCTTGCCCTCTCCCCCCATTCCCCTCCTTTATTTCCTTCCCCACGACCTCTCACGACTTCTCATGGGCGCCGTCTGCTGCAGATCACAGGTCAGTCCTCCCAATATAGTTCGACCTACAGTCACCCCATCTCCCACAGCCCATCGACTTTGACGGCGAAGTCAATCTCTTCCATTTTCTTCTCTTGCGATGTGTGGGCAAAGGCGCATTCGGCAAGGTACCCTCTTCCCCGCAGCCCCACCACCACCCCCACTCTGACCCTGCATATCCCACACCAGGTCCGAGTAGTCCAGCACAAGCAGACTCGCGAACTCTACGCCCTCAAGTACATTAACAAGGCAAAGTGTGTCAAAATGAAGGCCGTCCCAAATGTCATTCAAGAGCGCCGTCTGCTCGAGGAGGTCCGTTCTCGCTGAACCCACGCTCCATACTGTCCTCAACACGCCCTTCAGATTGACCACCCCTTCATCGTCAACCTGCGATACGCATTCCAAGACGACGAAAACTGCTTCTTTGTTCTTGACCTAATGCTGGGAGGCGACCTTCGCTGTATGCGTCCACTTTCCCGTGCTTTCCCACACAAGCTTACCCTTTCCATCAGTCCACCTAGAGCGGCTAGGTTCTCTTCCAGAGGAAACTGTTCGTTTTTACATGGCTCAGCTCTCTTCTGCCTTATCTTTCCTTCACGAAATGGGAATAATGCACCGGTAAGCGGTATTCCCCATTTCGGACATGCCTTTGTCCGACCCACTCGTTCTCCTCAGGGATTTGAAACCCGACAATATCCTACTTGACGAACGTGGAAATGCCCACATCACTGATTTCAACATCGCCGTTCACTTTGGAGAGAGGAAGCTTACAGGCGTTGCGGGTTCAATGGCTTACATGGCACCCGAGTACACTTGCTATTCCTATTCCACATCACCCGGCTTACCCCCTCTTCCTGCAGAATTCTTCAAAAACGTGGATACACCTACTGTATCGACTGGTGGTCGTTGGGTGTTTGTGCTTATGAGCTCATTTTTGGACGCCGGCCTTTCAGAGGCAGGTCCAACAGCGATCTCACCTACAGCATTTCGAGAGACCCAGTCAAATGGCCTGACGATGCTGAGAAGAAGTGCAGCAGGAATGGTATGCAGGTCGTCAAAGGAGTGCGTTCTTTTTTCCCCACCTCGTCATCTCCTTCCTGTTCTCACGCATGATTCTCTCATCTAGCTTCTTGAACGTGATCCGTCCAAACGTTTTGGGTGCAAGCCGAACGGAGAAGGATTTCAAGAGCTGAGGAGACATCCATGGTTCAAGCCTATTGACTGGGACACTTTGGAAAGCAAGGAACAGACGCCACCCTTTACTCCTGATGTGAGCGGATTTCGACCTTTTCTGTCGCCCCTAGTATTTACATCCCCTCTACAGGCAAAGAAAGCCAATTTCGACGCGTCTCATGAGCTAGAGGAGCTTCTCTTGGAGGATAACCCTCTGAAGGCGAAGGCGCGCAAGGCCAATCAGGACAACCTCAGTGCGGAGATGCGGCAGATGGAAGAACAGTGCGTCCATCCTTATCAGACATTTTCTGCTCCCTACCGATCACCCGTTGATCAGATTTACCACTTACGACTTCCACAAGATGCAACGGCGATCATACTATCCTCATAATCAACATCTAATTTCGACGGCAACAGCAACGTCGTCAGGACTTGCCTCCTCACGGCCAGGTACACCTGCTAATGACCTGCGAGTTGAGAACGGTGGTCCTCGTATTGAGGGCAGCGATGTTCGTGTGGACGTGTACAACGGCAACTCTTTGGAGCTGAACGGCAACGACGACATTATGATGAAGGAAAGGGACACTGCCCGAATCGATCAATTACATATGGAAAAGGAGTATTCGTAGGCCACCACTCGTTGCTTTTCGTTTTCTGACTTATCTCCGTTACTTTCGTTCTCGCTTTCGCCATCCTTCCAGCTTCGTGGCTTTGTGTACGCCGTCCTTCCAAGGCTTGGCTACCATGTCAAGACTGCTGGTCTTGTCTTATGGTTGGTCTGTCGTCGCTAGCGGCGCAACATATAGTGACAATCTCTTCGATCTGATATCCCACACTTTACTTGCTTCATGTCCGTCCTTTGGTTGTCCGAGTTTTTCTCCCGCATTTGATATCCCTATGGTCGTCTGTTCATTAACCTTAAATTTACACTTAATAATACGGTCATGCACCCTGTACTTCAATGCAATATACCACTCTCTAAAGAGACCATTCTGGCCTGCACACTCTGGGGCCAATTCTCGTGACAGACGCGCTTGTTTGGTCTATTCGATAATTCATCACAACGCGTCAACGGTCCAAACTTGGCGATCTGCCACAACAAGAAACCTATGCGCATACCAGCGCCCATCTCTCTTTGAGCGGGTATCACCACCATCCTCTTTATCTCATGTCGCCTACATCCCACGAGGCAACAGAGGTCGACTTCTCATAGTAGGTACCGTAATCAACGGAGATAGGGACCTCTTATCAAAGCCTGCGAATAGCTTTTCTGCCCTTGTACGACAGATCTCAAGAATACAGCCTCATTCATCAAAGGCACGCCCTAAGAGACCTGCGAACTACCTCGACTACCCCGCAGCACGCGTATTCCAGCAATGGGTAGAGAGGCTCCGCCGGCAATTCTCTCCTCTTCCTCCAAATATAACTGGGATCTGCTTCCGACTGCTCTTTCCTGAGGACGACATACGCCGGAAGTACGAGATCCAGGAGGCTAGGATGACCAAGCTACTACTCAATTGCTATGGTCTGAACGCGCGAAAGTTCGACGAAAACAGCTTGAACGAAGCCTCAGGATGCTTGGGGCAAGAACTTAGGGTCGTCCTTGAGGGGACTTGTCCAGTGCGTATAAGCGTCCGATCTGCAATCATTGGGTGACATATCTTCTAGAACGACGATGGTTCCACTGCTCCTCTCACCCTAGTGCAGATCGACGAACTCCTAGACGAACTCGCAGCAATCTCCGCCTTCTCAGACAAGGCGATCCGCTCGAAATACCTGAAGCCACGGAGGAGTCGCGCAGATATCATTCGCAGTCTTTTCCGCGGACTATCTCCAGAAGATGCTGCAGTTCTTACCCAAATCATCTTGAAGGATCTCAGGCCACTGATGTATCCATTGACTGAATTCCACTATGGCACTGCACTTACGAAATTCAATGTGGCTGCGGTCAAGATGATAATCAAGGAACACGCCATGGATATCTGGGATCCCTCAGGGATGTTTCTTAGATTCTACCGTGTCCATGCATCCCTCGATGAGGTTACGGCCTTCATGGACAAGCCCCCATCTGAGAGGACCCATTGTGACTTTGCTCCGAAAGTTGGATCGCCTGTTGCTGTCAGTCCCTTTCACCCCGATTCTCTGTCGCTAACTCCAACGTCGTCGCATAGATCCCGAAGTCAGAAAAGGGTCGTAGCTGTCAACACGCCCTTGACTACCTCGAGGGGTCGCAGAAAGTATGGGCTGAAACCAAGTATGACGGCGAGCGGGCTCAAATACACGTAACAGTCGATATAGACGGACCTTCTCATATCACTATATTCAGCAAGAGCAAGAGGGACTCGACACTTGACAGGCACGCAGTGCACAACATTATTCGTTCTGCTCTAGGACTTGATACGCCGAACTATGAGAGAGGCAGTGACAAACGACAGGTCAAGATGAATGTAATTCTGGATGCTGAAATGGTAGCATTTCGCGGTGATTTCGTAGAGGGTAAAGTCTTCATTTTTTTTTTCTAGAAAAGCATGCCGACTGAAGTTGGCTGATCATTCTCAGAATTTTGGCGAATTCGTCAGCTTATTGAAGATACCGCCTATGGCGTTCGAGGGTCCAGAAAATGGACATATAGCAAGAAGGTTGAAGAAGAGTGCGTATTTTCTCACAATCTGGCCCTGGAAACTTATCTGAAAGTCATCAGGCAGGAATCCATGAACAGCGAAGCTAACGAAGGACTTTCCCTCGGTCTCGTCTTCTTCGACGTCATCGCCCTCGATTCAGAATCTCTGCTATTTGAATCATACGCAAGTCGGCGCCGGCTTCTTGAGAACCTCATTAAAGTTGTACCTGGAAAAGCCATCCTAGCAGACCGTTACCTGATCGACATGGTCCAAAGTCCACTTCAGACTCTGCAGACCATATTCAATGAGCATATTTCTGCTTGTCAAGAGGGCATCGTGCTGAAGGCGGACGATTCAAGATATAACGACTACCGAAAACCCTGGGTGAAGCTCAAGAAGGATTACATGCCGCATAAGGGAGACTCTTTGGACTTGGTACTTCTTGGAGCCAGCTGGGAGAAGGTTCGAGGCCGCTCATTACGGGGTAAGTACGCCCCTCGCTTCCGTAGCAAATATTCTGATGTTGGCAGTTCCTCCAAGCACCTATACGACCTTCTATGTTGGAGGGGTAGAACGGCCAGAACACAAGCTTCCATCTGTACGTCGGTTATATAAGTGGCCAGGCTTTATAAAAGGCTCATCGTTATTTCAGCCTTCTGCGGTGCCCAAATTTCACGTATATTTTACTGTTTCGTATGGATTAACTCGGGAGGAGTTAGAGGAAGTCAACTTCCTCATCAAGTCGTCGGAAACAGTGTCTTGCGCATCTCTGGTGAATTCCCATTGCCGAAGCAATAGCACCCATCTTATTTGGATCATCTAGGATGCCGTCAATCTACCTTTCGATCTTACTGTGTCCAAAGGACTGAACCCAGCACCGACTGTAATTTTACGGACGCCTCTCCTGCTAAACCTGTACGGTGCAGGATTTACCAAGGCTCATCAAAGCACGGTGGGTGATACGCCTTTCGACTTCCTTCCTTCATCCCATCAGAAATTATAGCATTATGAACTACGCTTTCCTCGTATTACGAAGGCCTTTCGGCCCAGCGAGCGAAGCTGGCGAGAGGCTCTTGACCTTGAGACGGTGCACAAGACTGCACTGAGGTCTGTTGGCAGAGACAGCTCCGACAAGGATTTGCTCGACTGGGCCAAGCAGACATTCGGAAAGACATGCTCGCCCAGCGTCAGCTGTGGGATGAAGCGGAAGGCGATGATGGAGAAGTGGAGCGAACAACCAGGGCGAAAGGGTCTGAAGAGTCCTCGCTTTGAGAAGTCGGCGACCCAAACGTCGAAGAGTCGGTCAGAGAATAGCTCTTCGAGCTTGACCCAAGTTGTCATCAGGACGTCGACGCCTGATAAGACGCCTTTGGGTGTCAGGACGAACGTTATCGACCTTACAACACCGATTCACTCGAGGCCGCCTCAACCCAAAGTACCACCTACTCCATCGTCTCCGCTCGTCGAGCGTCAGTTAGCAAAGACCAGAAAAACAGAGAAAGAAGACCCTGTACGCGACACCCTCGATAACCTGGTCAAAAATAGTTGGGTCTGGATTGCAAAATCCCATCGGCCATGTCCTTCAATGCAAGCATGGAAGAAACGAATACCAAAACAACAGCAGCTACGCTCTCTGGAGGCAGTCATGGCGGGATGCGGGTGGACCGGGCCAGTGATTGAAGATGTGAGTTGGGTGCACCAGGGTGTCATTATCTTAGACGAGTGTAACGAGAGCGGATGGAAAGAGCACATTGTATCAACAGCAGAGCAGGCAGAGAAACGGACAAACAGACGACCTCTTCTCGTCTTCGGGTGTAGTTCTACCGAGCCATTACTCCGGCTTGTATAAGTAGAGTAGACACTGTATGTAACTATGACATCACGCGGCATCATGTTTTCCCTCCTCCGTCCACTGACATCCGTCTCCGTCTCCGTCCGACTCTTCTCGACCTCGTCGCGCGTGCTCGGCCGCGCCGTCGTCTATGCGCAGAACGGCGACCCCGCAAAGGTCCTCAGCGTGCTCACCTACCCACCGCTCCCGACGCCACCCCCAAACTCGGTGAACATCAAGTTCCTGCTCTCACCCATCAACCCGGCGGACGTGAACGTCATTGAGGGCGTCTATCCCACCAAACCGACCAAGACTGACGCTCTGACGGCATATGGCAAAGGGGGCGAGGAGCAGCCGGTGTTCGTGGGCGGGAACGAGGGCGTAGCGCGTGTAAGTGCGGTTGGGGAGGGTGTGAAGGACCTCAAGGAGGGCGATTGGGTCGTTATGATCAAGCAGCAGGCGGGGACGTGGGCTACGGATAGAAATGTTTCTGTGGTTGACGTGGCGAAGGTCCCAGACGCGCATTTGTTGAATGAGGCGCAGGCTGCGACTATCACGGTAAGGACTCTGGGACCAGTGGAGAACGCGCTTTCATCGGACACTTGCAGGTCAACCCCCCTACCGCATATAATATGCTCAATGATTTTATCGGCCTCAAGCCAGGCGACTGGGTTATTCAGAATGGGGCGAACAGTGCTGTAGGTTCTGGCATTTTTCTGAAGATTCAATCCCTTGCGACGGCCACAGGTTGGACAAGCCGTGATCCAAATTGCTGCTGCTCAAGGGCTCAAAACTATTAATCTCATTCGCGACAGGTGCGTTCTTTCGCTGCCGCCTGCTTTTATAAACCCTCATGGATAAGGTCAGACCCAACCTCGAGGAGCTCAAGAAGAAGCTCGAGAGCCTGGGTGCTACCCAGGTGCTCACATACGACCAACTCGCAGACAAATCTGTGAGAGAAAAAGTCAAGGAATGGACTGGTGGAAAGGTAATACTCCCACTTCCGCCTTCTGGCTGCGCGAAAGCTGATCTTTTTGTCGCAGCCTATTCGATTAGGTCTGAACTGCGTCGGTACGTTCTCTCGCACATGAGAAATCGCGGAAAAAAATTTCACCCGGACATGGCTCTGCCACAGGAGGACCCGAGACGACGGCCATGGCGCGACTGCTAGGGAACGGTGCCCATCTCGTTTCGTATGGTGGCATGGCGAAGCAGCCGCTCGCGATTCCTACTTCGCTCTTTATCTTCAAGAACCTGACATGCCACGGCTTCTGGCAGAGCCGGTGGTACTCGCAGAAGCCTCTTGAGGAACGAGAGAAATTGATGCAGGCTCTGGTCGACCTGATGAAGGAGAACAAGGTAAGGAAAAACCACCCAGGATAGAGACGCGGTTTGACGGGAAAATGTAGCTTGACTCGCCGGCCCATGAGATCGTGGAAGTCTCTGCTCAGGACCCGGATGAAGTGGCGACGAAGAAAGTGCAAGGGTTGTTCCAAGCTATTTCGGAGGGGAGGTATGGCAAGAAAGTACTCCTGAAAATCAACGAGTAGAAAGGATCCTGAAAATGCATGACATAAAAGAAGGATATACTAATACACAGCGCTATCGCATTTTCCTATCTTCGAAGAAACGCTGTAGATACATGAATACGGGATTCAATCAGATAGCAGAAAGCATATTCACCTTGAGATGCCGCAGCTGCCATGCACATGTAGCAACCAGCACGACGATCTGTGCAATGCTATACCAGACTGCGCGTGAGTTGGTAGCCTCGCTGAGGTCGCGGTAATCTGCCTCCCGCTCGCGCTGGTACTGCTGCTCTCTACGGATATCCTCGAGCTTCTGGTTGAGGTCGCGGACCTTGGAGGCGAGTTCAGAGACATGCGAACGGTCCTGCTCGACGTCGGGCTTTGTTGAGCCAACAACTATATCGAGGTAGAGACGGATATGGGTGTGACTGAACCAGGAAGAGTAGTTGGTGGAGAGGCATATGGAGTGGTCGCCCGCTTCGTGCGAGGTGAAGGTGAATTTGCCGTCGAGAGGACCGGTTGTCTTTACGACGACATGGCCGGAAGGCTCCTCCTGGAATGACGTGAGGGGTCAAGTTGGATAGCACACCGGCAGCTGGACGCACCTGGACCTCAACAATGATACCAAGCTCCGGGTTCTCTGCATACGCCTGCTTATCTTCTGACCACTCCAGCGCACGGTAGTGTCCTACCAACCTTGTTAGTTGACTGCATTGGGGAAACAAAAGCGGCTTTGTACCTTCGACCACGGTGTCTGTCGGTAGTTCTTCAATGAAGCATCGTTTCTGGTTCGCGTCGAGGTAGAAATGAAGGGCGTGAATTGAGGAAAATAAGGAACAGAGGAGGGCGAGCGCGGCCAGACGCATTTTGGATGAAGACAGCCAGCGGGAGACACGCACGAACGTGGCCTCGTTGTTTGTATCGGCCCGGGCAGCCAAACATGCTCCTCCGTCATCCTTCTTCCGTCGTCCCAATCCATGTCTCTTCCGCCCTCCACACCGACAGCCTAATCATCTACGCGGTCGCCGTCTCTCCCATTCTCCTCCGCTGCGGCGCCCGTCCTCGACGCCGTTTGGGACAGCGACCACCGCCTCTTTTCGTGCATCACGCACGTTCCACCTCGCTTTGTGGTCCCGAGCTGCCTTCTTTGTCTCTCCTGTGCGAACCCACACGCACGGCCGACCGCCTATGCCGCCTCCCGCTTCAGCCTATCGCCTCCCGTCATCTGTTCTGCTCGCTTTGTCTTGGCACCACCATGCCACATCCGAGGCTGTGCTTTTCTTCTTCCCCTTTTTAACTTCCAACAGCCATTAGCCCACATACCACGGGCACACCACCTCCCATTTCTGTCGGATATATCCCGCGAATCGGAGTATAACAGCACGAGGGCCTACTAGGACCATCGTCCACATCTGTCTTTCTGTCTTTTTCCCTCTGTCTGTCATGGAGTCTGCCGCCCCTGCCGTCGAGAAGAATGTCTATGCTTTGTCGCCGAGGGATGTCGAGTACTTGCAAAAGCATTTGAAGCTGGAACGTATAACGGGTGAGCTGCGACCAGCTCCCAACGATGAAGTAAGCGCCGTCTCAACTCCTGCACAACCTCGGGCTAAACTTCCGCAGACCGTTGCTTTTTCGTCCTCAGGAGAACGGCCACGTCGTCTACGTTCCGTCACACTCTCAGGACAATCAGACCACCAACGAGCCAAAGCTATAGACGTGCGTTTCACTTCCTTTCCATTGTGGCGTCAAACCGAACCCACCCACAGCACCTGCGGGACAAAATCAGCAAATGGGCGCGATGCACCCACCGCAGCCTCATCACTGTCCTTGGGCTATACATCAGCCCCGGGGAGGTGCCCATCCTGCGGCTAGTCTCCGCCGGCCCAGAGTTGAGCGTCCTGGAGTACTCACTGCATCTCCCAAAAGAGGACGTCGCTGCATACCGGGTACAAGCTGTGCGTGCTACCATTCCGCTACCCTGCTTCGCATATATGCATGCCAACAGTCCAGCGGTGCTGATAAGCCAACTTGCAGTGCAAAGACATCGCAGCGGGGATCGATTACCTGCACGCGCGGAGCCTCGTGCACGGTGCGATACGAGCAGTGCGTTGCCTTCTTTCCGTTATTCTCGGCGCTTATTTTGGCTAACACGCCACACACTACAGTCGAATATTCTTGTCAAGGAAGGCGGGGCGTGCTGTCTTGGCGAGTTCTCGTCGGAGGACGTGCCCAGCCAACACACCCTGACTACGTATGCGAGCTGGATGGCGCCTGAGATTGCGAGTTATAAATCGTTCCATAATTTAGTCGTGGACCACTATCGCCGGGAGGGATATTATGGTGAGTATAGGACGGATAGCGACATGTTCGCGTTTGGGTGCACGATGTATGAGGTCCGTGGTCGTCGCTTCTACTCAAGGGAAGGAACTCATGAAAGTACAGCTCTACATGGGAAGGCCGCCTCCGCCAATACGCATCCCGTATCACAAAGTCAAGGATTTCTACGGTCTGACGCAGCTGTTCCGGACATCGACAGAGGAGGAGCAGAAGTTGATTCCTCCACGAATGCTGAAGGATATCACCCTCCTTTTGGGGTACGTCCCAGCCGCACGACCGAATGCAACGATTGTAAGAGATTGGCTGGACAATCCGAGTCTGCCTAGACGAAGGGGCGGCACTCCCATCTTAGCCAAAGACGACGCGCGCAAGCTCGCCCGTTCGCTCTCCCAAACTAAAATATAGTGTTATGTATTACAGGATAATGGTACATTGGGACTATCATAATTTATAATACACGCCCTGGGGGCTATGTTATCCCAGACGCATTGCAGTGTTGCCCGCTGTCAAGCTCGTACTCCGATTCATGAGGCCGACGGAGCCGATACCTCCTGCTGTACCTGTGCCGCCGCCATTCCCTAGCGCGCTGACCAGAAACTCGCGACAGCAACGGGCGCGTTCGCGGCGCTGCACGAACCAGCTGCCGGCATCGCAGGGCACCGCCAGGGGTACGGCAACGAGGCCGTTCTCCTTTGCGGCCTTGACGCTCCGGACAAGCTCGTCCACCTCGACCTCCGAGTCCAAGTCGTCCAGATCCTCCGAGATATCATCGCGCATCTCCTCTGCGAGCCGGACGGCGGCAGCGGCAGCGGCTGCAGCCTTCTTGCTGACCTTTTTCGAGGCGCTGGCCGCTGCCGACTTTTTAGTAGCTGCATTAGGGTCCAAACCCATCGCAGCGGCGGCCTCATTGGCAAGGCGCTTCTTCTCCTGCTTTTCGCGCTCGCGCTTCTCCTTCTTCTCGGCTTTGGTCTCGCGCTTGACTGGCTCGACGAAGTTAGGATTGTTCGCGCGCTGCCACTCGAGGAGGAGCTCGTCGTACTTGCGGGATCTGCCCTGGACGGCGCGCTTTGCACCCATGGAGTGGGACTTGCATGTGAGGGAGCGGGAGCAGGGGAGGTTCTTGTCGTTGATGACGCCGCACTGCTTGTCGTAGTCGATGGGACCCTTCATGCGGCCTTTGGTGACCTTTGGGGTTGGTTTGGCCTTTTTCTTGGAGGGCTCTTCGGGGGAGGGCGAGGCCTTGCGTTTCTTGTTGCCCTTCTTTGCATCTAGGAAGGTGCGATTATCAGAGTAGCAGAGACAGGAGCGAGAGGCAGGCAGACCTTCTAGATCTTGCTTGCTTTTGAGGGCCTTCGTACGGAGGATTGTACAGTTATCTACGGCCCGACAGTGAGGAGATGCAAAGGGGAAGAGCTAATGGGGCAGACCTGCGTGCTCTGCCATAAAGCTGCGGAGGATGGGCTTGCCGCAGTGGGAGCACTTGACGAGGCCGATGTCCGAGGTTGCGGTTAGCGGACGGGCGCCGAAGAGCTTCATGTCGCGGGCAGAGAGCCATGATGTGGGTGGGGACGGGAGGGCGAGGGGGTCGGGCGAGTCCTGTGTGTCGGGTGTGTCCCAGGAGAAGGGCGAGGCGGGCGGTGGGGACGGCTTGAGTCTGATGGTCATCGTGGTTGAGCTCAGGCCAGTGCGACAATCGGCCAGAGTTAATGAGGCACGCTCACGTGACTACCCTCTCTGATTGAAACCTAACTCTTTTCATTAGCTTTCTACTGACCGTTTACTAGTCTCATAGATACCGATTTTCGCGGTGCCCAAAGAGGCGCGTCGGCCCTGCGTGCGACTGAGTCCTAACCCTGTTGGGAAGCACCTGCATCAGATGCTCGCTAAAATCGCCGCGCAGGTCCAGATGCACAACGCCCTCTTCTCCTCATCTCTTCCCACAAATCCCATCCATCCACAAAACCATGCCCCCTCCTCCATCAGACAATCTCCCAAATCAAGCTGTACGTCGCTAGTTCTGACCCTTCAAGTTATCCGCTTTATTTAATCCAACCCCGTATTCCAATTTCTCAGACTTCTCTTCTCCCAGCCTCT